CCCCAGGCGCAGAGCACACTCTCCGAATGTGAAGGCGTTTACGAAGTCCTTTACAGCGCGCAAAGAGGTTAATTGAAAAATTTCTTAATGTCATTACGAAAGAACTAGATTAACCCAAGTCAATTCACTTTATTGTTCAAAATAAAGAGGAATAAGCACTGAACTCACTTGCAAATTTGGGGCGTGAATTAGGGGTGAGATGTTGTCTTTAAGGACTCTGCCAGTTTAATTAAGATATGGAAAATTACTTATTGTTCTTCCCCACTAAAGTGCTAGGAATTAACAGGCGAACGTGGAGCCTGGGCCTTTCATATCTGGGCTGGGCTTCCTCACGCTTGCCTCCCACTGGCCTGTCCGGACGAGGGACGAGGAGTCGATGCTGAAAACCACGGGCACCATCGTCGCCACAGACGTGCCTTCTTTGCGCGCGGGGTCAGTCAGGTGGGAGGGATTGGGTGGGTTCTGTCCTCGCTGCAGATGTAACTGAGTTTGCGGATCCTTCTCGCAAGAGCAGCCTCTCTGGCTCCTCCCGTGAAATCCCTCCTCTGCTTTTCCTCCAGGAAGTGTTACTTAAGAGGGCGGCCGACCTCGTGGAAGCCTTGTACGGGATGCCCCATAACAACCAGGTAGGCGATGGCAGCTTGACTCACCGCCCCCCCCCCCCCCCCCCCGCCAGAGTGACCACGACCTTGGATGGCCAGCTGGCCTGGGTCCAGCGTGGGCTTCCTGGGCACACGTGGCCTCCCGAGCGTCCCATGGGGGGAGCCTCTGTCCGCCCGTTCGTGCCCTCCCACTGCGTATTCGAGTAGAAAATTACCAGTCAGTGCCGGCAATGCAAAGCAGAGGGGCTTTCTCCAGGAAGAACCGTGTCACGGCCCGTCCAGTGGATTCAGTGGTGGGCAGACTGGGGCTGCTGGGGCTTGGGGGTCCCTGGGGAACAGAGACTCGGGGGGACTTCCCTCTGGACGTGGCCCCGTGCCTCTGACCCCAAACCCAGTGCCTTCCGTGCTGCCCTGGCCCCGTGCATCCCTCAGGGGCCTTTGCGCCGTGGGTGCAGGAGGAACAGATGGGGTATTAAAGTGTTCTCCTGAGGGAGGTTCTTTTCCCGTTAAAAAATACGTTCTGTCACAGTCTGGACCAAGCGACGGTGGGGTGCCCCTACGGGTTGCCCAGCAGGGCCAGGTGGAGGGCGCTGGGACTGTGCCCCCGGGGGGGGTCTGTGGGCTGGGGGCAGGGGGCCGGCCTGGCCTGGGTGTGACGGCCGCCTCCGCCCCAGGAGATCATCCTGAAGCGGGCGGCTGACATCGCCGAGGCGTTGTACAGCGTCCCTCGCAATCACAACCAGATCCCCACCCTGGGCAACACCCCCGCACACACGGGCATGATGGGTGTGAACTCCTTCAGCAGCCAGCTAGCCGTCAACGTGTCGGAGACGTCACAAGCCAACGACCAAGGTACGCCGCGCGGGCCGCCCCTTCCCCAGACGCCCAGCTGGGATGGTGGGACTTAGCTGCTGCGGCTGACTGTGCCCTGAGGCCGGCGGGGACGTGGGCAGCGCCCCGGGCTCTGCAGCTTTGTTCGGAGAGGCCCTCGGGCAGAGCATGCTCAGAGAACCCAGGAAGCTGAGGCAGCGGCCACAGTGGCTGCCACGCGGCTTTGCTGGTATTTGCTAGCCGATGCCTTGAACTGATTCCTAAGGGGCTTTGCTTTCCTGGAAAGGCTGGGATAAGCCCTAGGAGAGCTGTGACGTAGGGAGCCGCGGACCCTTCCTGGATGCGCTGCACAGGGGTCGGGGGTGGGACTTGGTTTCTGAGACTGGAAGGAGCACACGGAGAGAAGCGCTGGCTCCCCGCCCGCACCTTATCCTTTTCCGGCCGCTCTAAAGCCCGTGCAGGCCGTGATCTCAGAAAACGCCTCCCCGTACGCCGCTCGGCTTCCGCTCACCCTCACCCCACGGCGGGAGCGAGGCTCCTGCTTCCCCTCCCCACGCCGACAGAAATAGCAGCCGTAGACATGAAGGCCCCAGAACAGCCTTTCCTGGGGACTTACGGCCACAAACAGCTCTCCTTGTCAGCCGTGGCATTTGAAGGTCTGCAGAGGCCGAAAGCTCACCTAGCGCAGGGGGACGGCCCAGGAATCGCGCCGTTGATAATTGCTTCTAAAGAGGCACGTGAAAGCCGCTGACGGTTAGATCGAAGTGCGCCTGGGCCGGCTGCCGAGGCCGCCGGAGACAGGACGGGGCTCGGCGAGGATGCTCGAGCAGGGCTGGCGTGACAAGGTTATTTGAGCTGGCGAGAGGCGCTGGGGCTGGAGGAAAGCATACGGTCAATTAAAAGCGTTCAATAGATGATAGAGGTTTGCGGGGAAACCCCCCCCAAGTGTCTCTCCCTGATAATAATGTTATTTTTGGCCGGGGGGGGGGATTTTAACAGTCGGCTACAGTCGCAATACAAGCAGCGTGTCCCCGCGAGGATACGTCCCCAGCAGTACTCCCCAGCAGTCCAATTACAACACAGTCAGCACTAGCATGAATGGATATGGAAGTGGCGCCATGGCCAATCTAGGGGTCCCGGGCTCGCCTGGATTTCTTAATGGCTCCTCCGCTAACTCTCCCTACGGCAGTAAGTGTCTGTTTTTGTCACCCGTCATCACACAGATTCATATTCGCTGCAAAGTCAAATGTGTGCGTTGCTTGGATGTTCTGTGGTGTGAGCTACTGGATAAAAGGAAGGGTGGCTCTGGAGGCTGGGCGTCCACGTGACGACAGTAAATTGACCTAAAACGGGCCCCACGCGGTCACATTGGAAACCCAAACAAAATCGGCACCAAATGGGGCCGCCCAATTGGAAACGAAAAGTCCAACGCGAGAGTTTGCCTGTTATCCAGAGAGTGGCCAAGCCAGAAACATCTCGTGCTTGCTCTGTTGGCCCGACGCTCCAGGCGAGGCCCTGGAGCTCTCTTTGTCGTGTGGCCGTGCCCGGCGTCGTGCGTCCTGACCATGTTTGCTTTGTTGCAGTAGTGCCGTCCAGCCCTACCATGGCAGCCTCTTCGGTCACCCTCCCTTCAAACTGTAGCAGTACACACGGCATTTTCTCATTCTCACCTGCCAATGTCATCTCTGCAGTGAAACAAAAGAGCGCCTTCGCGCCCGTGGTCCGGCCCCAAGCCTCCCCTCCTCCTTCCTGCACCAGCGCCAACGGGACCGGACTGCAAGGTGAGGGTGCGCGCTGGCCTGAGGCCGTGGCCTGGGAGCGCCCGGAGGGCCCCGGGGCAGGCCAGGCTGGGCCGCAGGGCTGGAGTGAGGGGCTCTCCCTGGGGGGCGGGAACTCCGACCTTACCCCGGGCCCACCCGCGGGCTGCCGGCAGGGCGGCCCTGGCTGTTGCATGTTCTCCTTCGTCTGCCGCAGTGCGACACCCACCCCCCAACCCGGTGCTCCCGGAAACGACCCCCCCCCTCGTTCAGTCCCCACAACCGGATTCTTCCTCTTGGTGGATGAAACCCGTTTCCTCATCCTTCCAACGTGACTTAAGTGTCCTCACGGTAAAGCGGCCCATACCTGCAGGGAGTGGAACCTGCAAGGGAAGGAAAACGGGCCGTGGTGAAGGCAGCGGGGCCCAGGTTGCGTCCCGTTCAGCCCAGAGCGTGGGCAGGTGCAAGCCTGTCGCTCCCCTGACTCACAAGGCAGTGGGACAGCCTCAGGCCTGGGGTGGTGGGTCATGGTGCCGCCTGCAGCGCCCACCTCGAAACTGGCCCGTTCTCACTGTCCCGAGCCTGAGCCTTTATTCGCAACCTGGTCTAACGGACCACGGGGCGCACGAGGCTGCGTTGTCCTCGGAAGGGCGCGTGCACCTAGACCCGGGGCTGTGCGCGCACCAGTGCTGCACGGGAGTTGGTTTTCCAGGAGATTTCCTTCAAAGACGCGAGAGGGAGAAGGTCCCGCCCAAGGGCAGCGGGAGGCCCCGCCTGGCACAGCTGCCCACAGATGGGGCCGCGCGGAGCGGGCACCCAGCGCCCGCCCAGTGCTGGGGCCCTCTGGGCAGTGGCCGGTGGTGCGAGTGGCAGGCGGGGCTGCGTGAGGGCCCCTAGGCCCCGTGAGCTTGCACGTGGCTCTCGGTGACTGACTGAGGCCCACAGGCTCTGAAATTAATTAAGTGGCCGTCATCTGGCCTCTTTCAGACACCACCTTTGGTATATGCTCCTCCCGGTGAAAACCAAATCCAGTTACTCCTTTAAAAAAATGAATCCATTCAACCAGTATTTACTGAGCGCCTACTATGTGCCAGGCTCTCTGCTGGGTGCTGAGGACGCTACCGTGGAGAAGACAAACTGGCCCTTTTGTGAAGTCGGTGGCATATTTCACTTTGATGAACTAATGCTCAAAAAAGGAACTGGAAAGGTATCAGTGATTTGAAATAATTGTCTGCACAACACCTGTTAGCGTGAGAGGGACGCCCAGCCCCGAAGGGCCGCCGACTGGCCTGCAAGCCAGCAGCGGTCACCAGACCACAGGCGCTTAAGAGGCGGGTGGCCGGGTGCCACGGCCCCGCCCGCCGTCCACCCGGTGCCAGGGCCCATCGAGAGGTGGCGCCACGTAAGCCGTGTGCACACACACAGCTCTTCCAAACCATAAAGTTGTAACGGTGAGTCGGAGATAAATTAATAGCGCTGAAATTAATGAACTGAGAAATTGAAGCTCCCATCACTACGTGAACAGACGTATTAATATGTTATACACAAGTTAATGAGAATGATCACTCTGACAGAAATTGAGCAACACTAAAGTTACAAGATTTTAGATGACATCTGTACCCAGAGTTCACTGGGAAGCACCTGCTGCACTTGGCATCTTGGCCCAAGTTTCTCTTTCCCTCCAAGAAGAGGAAGGACGCGCTCCCTACGGTGGAGCCGTGACTTGTGTCTCTTGAGGGCCCTTGGCCCTGAGATTGCAACCAGGTGGGCTGTGAGTGGCTTTGATCTTGGCAGGTCCGCGACTCACCATTACGATACAGAACGATCAGCGGAAGGTCCAAGGCAGGGGCTGAGAGCAGAGGGGAACCCGAGGTGTGTCCAGTTTGACTGACTTAGGGAGCGAGAGCTGTGCCCGGGTCCCAGCAGCCCGAGAGCTGGCCTTGGCTGGCGTCACAGAAGTGACCGGGTTGGTTCGGCATCTGTCGACGGAGGTGGCCTCCTGGGGGGGGGGGTCTGGGCCTCCGTCTGCTATAAGCCAGCCACTGACGTGTGTGGGCAGCGGCCCTTTCACACCCGGAAAGGCCAGAGCCTTTCCCTTTGCCACGTGAGGTCGTTGAGGCGAGGACCCCGGGGACCTGTCCCCCACGAGCACCCCACACCCCCTGAAGTAGGTGCCTTAACCGAGCCCACGGCTGGTTAATGCAGATTGTGCAGACCCACTGTCACTGCCGACCGAAGCCCAGGGAGGCCCCCCACCCCGGTGAGAGGCGCCCCTGACCTGCCCCCTCTCTCTTTCAGCTATGTCTGGGCTGGTAGTCCCGCCAATGTGAGGGGCGCTTGTTACCTCCCGCCGCGCCCAGCATCCAAGGACGGACTTCAGGGGACACGTTAGTACATAAGAGGTGCTGATGGAGACCGTGTCTTCAGTACATCAGCAGCGGTTGAAATGCTACAAAAGACTTTGTTTAAAGATTTTATTTAAACTATTAAGAATCAACACACAAACGACGTACTTCTTCATGAACAATTCCATTTTATTGACTGAACTTTTCTCATATTTTCACATTTCTCAGTCCTGAAGAATAAGGAGAACAAAGCGATGCCTATTTTGTATAAAGTTTCTGACTCCGTCTTGGCTCTGTCTAGTACTTGCTATGTGTTGGGAGAAACTTTGTGAATGCACCATTTTGATGATCATGAAACACTGATGAAAAACGCCTCCAAACATTTTTCTGTACTCATACTTAGATTCACAATGGTTGTGTATCTCTATAATGTGAAATATTTTTTTGTGGTGACAAAAGGGGGCCAAGGAGGTCTGAGCCATCAAACTGGAAGAAAGGAAGACTATATGAGAAGGAGAATTGGGGTGGCAGGGGGGGAGGGAGGGTTTATCGTTGCTTAACTTCATCTTAATGAAACGGAACTTTGTAACTTATTGTAGTTAGAAATTGTAACTTTGATATTGAATTCTCTTGCCTTCAACAAGCACACTGACAGAGGAAAAAAAAAATGCTACTGTCTGTTGGTTAAAATATTCTCCCACTGCTAGAGCTTCCTGTTAAGCAAGTGTGATCTGCGACATTTTTTCCAACTTTTGCTAGCACTGTATACTATTGCATTCTTAGGCTACTGTGAGGTCCATGTTTCTTGTACCAGAAATTGTCCTTTTGACTTCTAGATCCTTCTTCCCTGATGTGTTTTGTATGTGGTTATAAAATTGTAGACTTTTGTGATTTTGCCAAAGTTGTAGCTAAATATTTATACACTTGTCTTGAATTTTTTTCAGATCCACTTAAATATTTAGGGAAAAAAAACGAGTTTTATTCCTTATGCGTCTTTTATAAGGAATAAAATGGTCTCCATTCAACACTTACTTACTTTTCCATGAACACTTGCTGTTGCTAAGGGACTTTATTTTGTAACATATCAATTATAAATATTGTATTTATCTTTGAAATTTTGTACACTGCTTTTCCCACCATTTTCGGTTCCTTTTTCTTGTCTGCGTTGGTTTTTGATCATGGCCTGGTGTTGTGATGCTGGGGAAGAGCATTAAAGCCAAGAACTGTTTGATCTGTTTCGTTCAGTGAACCAACATCCTTGCATTTCATTTGTACTTCCAAAATTTGCTATTGTTTGTTTAGACTTTCCGTCCTTTTTTTGTTTTTTTTTGAGGAAAAGTCAAATTCATTGTTTATTTTTATATTATTTTTAAGTTATCTGAACAAATACTTTTGAAGAAAAAAAAGTTCGTTGTATAGTCACAACAAAACGGTGCCACCCGCTGTGACAAACCCTCGTAGATTCCGTGCATGTGGAGCGGCCACGAAGAGGCGACACCGTTGGGGCTGTGTCCTCCTTCTGTTTTATTTCTTTTGTAGAATGTAAAAAGTCATTTCAGCTGCCACCCATGACTTTGCCACAGAGCTGAACTGTGTTTACTGGAAAAATTCAGAGGCCTAAAGTTTAAAATAAAATTTACTTCTGATGTTTTAATGACAATGTTTGCCACATTAACTTCTCTGATGCCTTAAAAGTGGACTTCTTTAAAGAACCTGTGTGCTGTTTGATCACAGGCTCACCCCACAACTGTTGATCAGTATTTCATTTGGAGATGTACGGCGTAAAACACGCACACGCACACGCACACGCCCGGAGACCCCTGTGTCGCTCCTTTCTGCATCTGGTTCTGCTGTGTCCTGTGTCCTCCCAAGCCCACCTCCGACTCAGAGAGGTTTCAGGGGACCCACAATCACCCCTCGTTTAAAATTCCTTTTTAACAATACGTTTTTTGTGGTCAGAACCCAGCAGCACTGTCTGTACTTTTTAAACTGGATAATGACCTCCTTCAGACACTGTACCTGTTAGTGCCAAACCTGCCGTGAGACCAAGAGGGTCGTTTCTTTTTTCCCTTTGCAGACACAGCACAGCAAACGGTTTGCAAACTGCAGCAGAAATCAAATCTAAAACAAAAAGGAGGGACTTTAAAAATTTTTCTTGACAGAAACCAAAACAAAACAATGCAGGACTTAAGAAAGTGTCCATTCAAGGGACTAAATCAAAGGATCAGGACGTCCCCAGGGGTTAGCGGGTCACACTCTGGCCCTGCGACCAGCCTGAGGAGTCACTCTGGAACTCTGTTGCCTCCGTTTTATTTTGTGTAAGTAAGGGTTTGACCTAAAAATGAGCTCACGTGTACACGTTAAGGACATTCGCAAGTCTCCTTGTCCCTGCACTTGGTTTGTGTTTTAGATTAATTAGTCGCCCTCATGGCTTCATCGTCTCAAAACTGAGCGCTCCACTAAATGGTAGATTTTACTGTTAAAAACCCTACAATAAGATTGTTTTATCTGTACATTTTTTCAGATATTTAACTGTATAAAAATGTTCATTTTACACAATATTTAATTAAAGTACTTCTTGTCTGTGAATTTCACTTTGGGTAATTTGATCTGTTTTGATTATTAAAATGGCTTTGCTCAACACGCAACAGTTACATTGGCCGGGTGGGTGGGGTTGATCTGCACTCCCAGAGCTCTCTTGGCCAGGATGAAAATGGTTCATAGAAGAACCTTCTCCAAGGTTATCTGCCCTCAAACGCTCACCTAAGCCGCACGGAGAGTTCCTTGTAGTTACTCAGATGCCTCTGGTCCCCAGAGGGGCCACCTGTACGTGTGTTGCACGCCCGCCGGCACATGGGAACACGACTGTGGGTCAGACCTGGGGGCCACAGCAGCACTGTGGCCCATAGACAGTCTCGAGACTCGCTGGGGGCTTGGTCACCCCCACCCCTGCTCCAGGCCCTCCTGCCTCAGCCCCTGCCTCTGAACTGGAGGACTGGCAGGTAGAGGGCAAGCATTCTGGCTACTCCAGACATGTGCTCCTCTGTCCCTGTCACCGTGCTCCACCGGGACAAGATCCAGCTCAGAAAGCTCCGGTTGGACGGGCAGGCACCAGGGCTCCGGACACCAGTGCCACTGAACCCGGACCTGAGGGACACCGTTGCCAACGGCAGGTCCACGGCCGTGGTGTGACAGGCCCCATGCACTGCGCCGGCCCCTGGGCCGCACGGAGGTGTGGCCAACGGCAGGGCTCTAATGAGATGCGCCGTCAGCACCGGGGCTCTGATTTTTGCAGCTGTGCTCAGCTCCTGTGCCTTTTCAGCAGCACCACTCCGTTTCATTCTGTAGTTTTCATTTGCTCCTCAATGAAAGGCTGGTTTTGCATGTTTTGGCTTGCAGCTCTCCAACACATACACATAAGTGTGATCCAAATTAGTACTCACAAATGTCATCTTAATTACTTGTTCTGCCGAGCAAAACAGGGAATGATTATCCAAAACATAAAGAAACTTGTGAATACCTTTTTCTCCTGTCAATGACAATCAGGTTTCTCTGACTGCATTCTCGTTTCAGCCTTAAAGAGACAGCGAAGAAAGAGGCTCATGGGGTACAAGGCTGCAGCCAGCCCCTCCCCCCCCAATTCCCCTGCGTGCTGGGCACCAACCTCACCTCCTTCCCCACTCTGAGCCGGTGCCAGCGATGCCTGCTCAGGGGCGTGGCAGGGGCTGCCGCTCTGAGCTGCTCGCCTGGGCCCTGTGACCAGCGGGGAGGGAAATTATTTTATGTTTGTGTTTTGAATCCGAACTGAGAACTGCATTCTCGCCAAATGTGTGCCAATTACTGTCAGGCCACCTTCCAGGGTCTTCCAAGCTTTTAAAGATTATTCAAAGCACTTGAAATGGGCTTCAATCTAATGCCTCATTTCATTGCATTAAACAGCCTAGTTAATAAAGAATCGATATATTCAAAGGGCAAGGTTATCTTTTGTCTATAAGGGGTGGTGTCATTCTGAACCTTTTATAGTTCAAATGCTGAAAAAGACCTCATGAAATCCATACTCATCAAGCGGGTCAACGGGGGCAATAAAGAGGCGTCCGAAAGGAGGGGCGCCCGCCCTCCCCCAAAACAGCCCCAGCCTTATCTCCCCGCCCGGCACCCAGAGAAGTCCTCAGAAAATGTCAATTTCTCATCAAGACAAGAGGCTGCGATGATCACTTTTTCCAGAGAATACACACAATTAAGAGAATGCAGAGGGGCGGCTGCGGCGGGATTTGTGGCTCCTTCTGTCCCCAGGAGCTGCCAGCTCCCTCCCAGCAGATAATAAGAGTTGTTGATAACTCAAGTGTCAATATGCCAGAGAGCGAGTTTTGAATGTGAGTCCTTGTGCTCTGAGCCCGCCCGGCCGATCCCAGGCCCTGATAACGGCACAGCTGCCAACGGACACCCTGGTTTGGCCCTCACAATTAACGCGATGAATAAATCACACAAAGGAGTCGGGATGCTTTATACTCGGTGAGACAATCCCCTGCTTTACCCTTCAAGGATTCCTTTTATGTTGGAATAAGGTTGCTTTTAATGAAATTTAAACTCATCAGAGGAAATCAAAAACCTCCAATCAGATTACAAATTGATTTTTTGGTCATTTGTCATCCCCAGTATAGGGCTGTGGGTTTCACGGGGAGCGGGGCTGCCGGTCCGGGTCTGGGGAGCCAGCACGCACATGGCTCCCAGCCCCCGGCCTGGGGACAAACGGATAGGCTCTGGACCCCGTGCAGACTCAGACGCGGTCTCCCCACCGCCCGGGTCTGGCAAAGTGGACCCACGACAGCAGCAGGTGCCCGTCAGCTCTGAGTCCAGCTGAGGCTTAACCCGGGGACATCCTTGGCGGAACCCACAGTGATTTCTAGGTCTGCAGTCATGATCTGCTGAGGGCGGCCAACAGAGACACGTTCTCTTGGGATTGCAGTGAGTTTTGGTTCATACCCGCCACGCCCTGGATCTGCTCTGTGTCACCCCACGTGGAGCCACGTGGAGTATGCCCTACACCCCAAGAGCTTACGATGTGGGGTGGAGAGAAAACGCGGCCAGTCCCACTTGGCCATCCAGTCGGAGCCCAAGCGTTCACTCCTGAGCACAGCCTGCCCTGGGAGTTCTCCCAGGGGTCTCCTGTTGTACCCTGGAAGGACTCTGAGTTTTCTGAGGACGAGCCAAGGCCGTGCTTTCCTCACCTTCCTATCTCTACATCGAGGGCACCCGGTCGAGGCTGCGGTGAACCACCGAGCATCTGGGACTTAGTGTGGGTGTGTCGGAAGGATGGGGCTCCGGACAAGATCGGGGTAGTCACTACTTCAGCACAGAAGTGAACATCACTTGTGATTCAAGATTCCTCAGAAACCACCTCTTAAAATACAATTTCTCAGCGAGCAGAATACCCAACACCTTTCCAAATAGCAGATAAGCATCGTGCCTCACTCACATGTGGCACCGGAGGGTCGAGGGACACCTGTCACAGGATCCTGTCTGGCCGACCCAGGGGGCTCTGTGCTGGATCTGGCTCCCCTCTCTCGGGTGACAACACTTCAGTTTGCAGGGGGCAGGTGACCGGCCCAAGGTCACAAGGCTGGAAGGACCAGGGCCCGATGCCAAACAAAGTCTCCTGTCTCCAAACCCTCTGTTTTTTCCCGATTTAGGCTTCAGAGACCTTCAGGAATTAATGAGAGAGAGAGAGAGAGAGGAAGAGCGAGCGAGGCCATCTGGATGGAGTGAGAACCACCATACCCCCCTCCCAGCCAAGTCAGGAGGGCACGTGCCCCAGGGCTCGAGGGGCCTGGCTCAGCCAGGCCACCTGGACAGGCTGCGAGATGGAAACTGGTCTGTCCGGCCCAGTATCAGCTGGAGCTCAGGATACAACCAATGTCACCGGTTCACAGACCCGAAACCAAGGGCAGAGGATCATGTCCCCGGGGCCTTTGCAACATACAGGAGGCCGGCAAAGAGCTGCTCCCGAGTGCTTCATCCCTGCTGTTCTCAGATCACCTCATGGTCCACAGGTGGACCCACATGGCTGGGGAAACTGGACGCCTGTGTGTACCCGGTGCCTCTTGGGTCCACGTGGCATGTGCAGTGCAGGCAGGGGAGCCATTCACCCGGCGCAGGGACAGGAAAGGGACAGGCTGGGGCCACCGAGGCAGTGCCAGAGGGACTGGACTGCAAGGGCTGAGCCCTTTGGCCAACACCCAGCCAGGGCGCAGTAAAAGCTTGTCACCATTCCAGATGACAATGGGGACAGGACAAGGACATGATGAACGGAGAAGGTCTGGGTGGTAGAGTCAGAATGAACCACAACAGTCAGAGGCACTGGGCAGAACAGAAACGAAGGATCAGAAGCAAACACCGGCACAGCACGCATCACCCTGCCCCTCAGACCACGCCCACCGCCGTGCTGATGGTGGCCATGGACCACAGCTCACTCACCTGACACGTTCCCTCCTACAAGGGACCGAGCTCTTCACTGCCTTCTTCCACGACTGTGGGACCAGCAGGACCCAGGCTGGCATGGGGCTGCAGACACCAGGGGAGACAGAAAGTGTCCTGCCACAAAGGGTTCACCTTCTCAGTATGCGATGAGGTTTTGCAAATCAGCAAGAGTAGATGGACATTCTGGAGAAAAATGGGCAAAGTCACAGTCAGTACAAGTGATCAGTAAACTGGGAAAACATACTCACCCTCTTTTAAAACTGCGTATCAAATTAAAGTGAGATGAAAAAGTTTTTTCACGTATTAAATTAGAAAAGATTTTTCTTAAAAGCTAATACTCAGTCCTGCTGATGGAGAAATGGGCATTCTTAGAGTTGTAGAAAGAAGAGCAAACCAGTGCAACCCTTCTAGAAATAAATTTGACATTGTATCAAGAGACTTAACAATGTTCATATTCTTTGACCCACCAATTCCACTTCCAGGAATCAATCTTAAGGAAATGATCAGAGATTAGACAAGACTTTAAGTGCAAGACTGCTCACCATAGTAATATTTATTTAAATAAAAAACTGTAAAGAACCCAAAATTCTAAAAATAGGAATTGTTCATTGAATTATGGTATAGCCATATAATCGAATACTGTATATTCTATTAAGCTATTAAGATCATGTTTTTGAAGTACATTTAATGAAACGGTAAATAGTAATGACATAAAATTAAGTAAAGCAAGCATATAATACTGTAATACATAATTCGAATTTGTAAATTCCCATGTAGCGAGAAGGTAAGAAGGAAAGACATATGTATTTGGAAAGAATATTAGAATTACAGCAACAGCAGGCATACTTGGTAGGTGAAAGCTTCATGTTACATGCATGCTTTCCAAGTTTTCTGCCAAACAGACATGCAGGGTCCCGGGGAAAACCCTCCTGTGCTACCGACTCACCACCCTGCCTCTTGCTGCCAGTAAGGAGGCAAAGGGCACCTCGTCTGGAGACAATCCAGTTGTCCTAGGACACTGAGGCCGGATGTACTGCGGGTATTGGCATCACAAGGCCACGTGGAAGTAGAGTTGAGACTGACATAGTGGCAGGAGACCAGAGACCAGGAAGCAGGTCCACCCTCTGAGAGTGCAGGACTGGAGAGGTGCACGGAGGGGCGGAGCCTGCGGCCACAGGGTCAAGAGAGACAGGACCCCAGGGAGAGATTCCCATGAATCCCAGCTCAACTCCCTGGCTCCTGGCTTTCCCAGCATCTTTTGGGGTCTGATACTAACTTCACTTTTACTTGAACTTCCTTGAAGGGATTTCTGTTGTTTGCAACCAAACCATTATTGACCAAATTAGGGAGAAAAATTATTTTAAAGTTAGTGTTATAAAAAAACTAAAAGAACTTAAAAAGTATTAAATTTAATAAGTGAAATGTAGCAAGACTGATGAATACAAGGTCAATATACAACCATATTTCTATAACAATGACAGTTATTGGAATTTTTAAAATGATACAGTTTACAATATTGTAAAAATATCAACAGCTAGAAAGAAAGCTACCAAAGTTATGCAAGATGTCTGCACAGGAAACCATAAAATTGTTGAGAGAAATTTTTGAAAATCTTAATAAATGGACGCATACACCATATTCATGGATTGGAAAACTACGTACTGAAAAGATGCCAATTCTCCCTAAAATGATCTATAAAGTCAGTGTAATCTCAGGCCCCTCTTCCAAATACCACCACGTTGGGGGTTAGGGCTTCAACATATGAACTGGGCGGGGGCAACACAAACATTCAGTCCCTAACACTGTGCAAAGAAGATTTCTTATGACACTACAGTAATTCAGACAGTGGGGTGCTGGAACGAGACTAGACAAACGACCTAATGGATATAAAGTTCAGAAGCAGACTCCACGCACACGGTCATCTGATCTGTAACAAAAGTGACACTGCAGTGCAATGGGGAAGGGTGGTCTTTTCCATGAGTTGTGCTGAGTGTGTGGATATGCACACGGTAAATGAAGCGACTCCCCCCTCACACACGCAAAGTGCAAACCAGGATGGTTGGGGACGCTAAGATACAATGACTCCCCAGCTGTAAGAAAGAGAGGAATAGTTTCAGGCACAAAGGAAGAGGCAGTGTTAAAATCAAAGTCATGAGAACTCCTAGGACCTCTGAAATAGCAGTAAGATGCAGTGATGAGAAGCCACCTGTCTGGGTGGCTGGTGAGGGCTGGGACTTGCAGGAGGCAGGAGGGCCTTTAAAGGTCGAAACAAAAGCCAAACCCAATTCCCTTCCATCTAACACCTCGGGTTTGTTCACCTCAGTCTGCGTCAATGCCACAGACAAGGTAGAGACCTTGAACTCTGCACCCGCTCTTGCAGGGAGTTGGTAGAGCAGGCATTCTGAAAAGATCAGCTGTCCAGAAGCCCTCGAGATGCCTTCAGAAAGACTTATGAAAGGTCTTTATCCCTGAAAGAAACTTGAAAAGATCTAAGTAAATGGAAAGCATCCCATGTCCATGGACTAGGAGACAATACTGTTAAGATGACAATGCTCCTTAATTAACTTACAGATTCAATGGAGCCCCTTTCAGAATCACAGCTGGCTTCTTCACAGAAACCGACAAGGTGATCCTGAAGTTCATACGGTATTGATTGCACAGGACCCCAAACAGCCAACCATCTTGCAAAAGAAGAACCAAGTTGGAAGACTCCCACTTTCCTATTTTAAAACTTACTACAAAGAAACAGAAATCAAGACAGTATGGTGCTGGCATAGGCTAGACATACAGATCAATGGAACAGAATTGAGAGTCCAGAAATAATCCTACATATCTATGGCCAACTGATTTTCAGCAAGGGTGCCAAGATGATTCAATGTGAAAAGAATAGTCTCTTCAACAAATGGTCAATGGGAGAGCCACAAAGTGAAAGAATGAAACTGGACTCTTACCTCACACCATATACAAAAATTAAGTCAAAATGGAGCAAAGGCCTAAAGGTAAGAGCTAAAACTATAAAACTCTTAGAAGAAAACACAGGAGTATCTTCATGACTTCAGATTTGACAATGAATGTGACACGAATTTGGCAACTGTACAAGACACAATAGATGTGACACATCTTAGATGTGACACCAAAAGCATGAGTCACAAAAGAAAAAAAAGGATAAAACAGACTTCATCAAAACTAAAAACACCTATGCTTCAAAAGACACTATCAAGGAAGTAAAAAGACAACCCACAGAATGGGAGAAACTATCAATACTTGAAAATCATATATCTGATAAGGGACTTGTATCTAGAGTATAGAAAGAACATTTACACTTACAAATAATAATAAGACAAATGACTCAATTTAAAATTGCGCAAACGATGTGAATAGACATTGCTTCAAAGAAAATACACAGATGGCCAATAAACACATGAAAAGACGCTCAACACCACCAGTCATCAGGGAATTGCAAATCAAAACCATAATGAGATTCCACTTCACACCCACTGGGATAGCTATAATGAAAAAGTCAGACAGACACAAGTGTTGACGAGGATGTGGAGAAATAAGAACCCTCATATAACTGCTGGCAGGAGATGGTGCAGCCACTTTAAACAGTCCAGAGGTTTCTCAAATGGTTAAAAACAGAGTTACCAGTATTTCCACTCCTAGGGACACACCCAAGAGAAACGAAAATACATTCATGCAAAAACTTGCACGTGAACATTCATGGCAGCATTATTTATAACAGCCAAAAGGTATAAATAACCCAATGTAAATTATGAATGGATTTTTAAAATTTGGTATAGTCATACGATGAAATATTCTTCAGCCATAAGGGGAATGAAGTGCTGACACATGCTACAACATGGATGAACTTTGCAAACATTACGCTAAGTGAAGGAAGCCAGTCACAAAAAACCACGCTATATGTTTCCATTTATAGGAAATGTCCAGAACAGGCAAATCCACATAGACAGAAAGTAGATCAGTGATTGTTTAGACCTGCAGCACATGAGGGGTTAGGGGATGACAGTTACAGAGACATGGGGGGGGGGGTTTCTTCCTGAGACAATACAAACATTCTAAGATTGACTGGGGTGATGGTTGTTCGTATCTGTGAATATATTAAAAACCACTGAATTGTACATTTTAAATGGGCGAATTGTATGGTATGTGAATTACTTCTCAATAAATTGTTATAAAAAAGTCTTGTGGTTGTATCAAAGCATCAAAAAAAAAAAAACAGTATTGCTTTCCATTGAGAACTACTCTTAAGGTTTTTGGTTTTCTGGGGAAACTGTATTTCCTGGAGAAAGCTGCTAGGACTCAAGTCCCAGGTCAGCACACGGGAACCACTGGACTCCTTGCAGTCTTGCCCCTGTGTGGGGCAAGGGTCCCTCCCACCTGTCTGCTCCCCGGGAGGGGCCGCTTGGAGTCCACACACCTTAGAAGGGGAGACAGTCACATAGGACCCTACTCAGCATCTCCAGGCCACGGAAGTCAAGATCATGTCCCTCGACTCCTGCCTGGGGTGAGGCAATGCAGGTCCAGGTCCCTGCCCGCCCCAGTCTGGCCCTCCATGGCCCAGATGGGATGGTCTGCCCCAGCCCTGGCCTACATTCTGCCTGGTTCGTTCCTCTCAAGGCTGCTCGCAAAACACCCATACACAGGGTGCCTCATCCAGGGTCATTCCTAAGTTAGATTTTTCTTAAAGGAAAAAAGAAAATTCCTTTAAGGATAGTTTTTAAAAACTGTTTCAATAGGTTCCAAACATTCCAGAATACTCAGTCCTACTTTTTTAAACCTCATTGCCCTGTTTCTCAGATTTCTTTAGAACTTGTCTCGTTAAGACGGATATCAGGAATCTCAATGGATCCCACTCCTGCCACCCTGGTCTGAGCCGCATCAGCGCTTCCCTTGTTCAAGGTTGAGCCTCCTAACCAGTCCCGCTGCTTCTCCTCCTGTACCGGCTCTCCTTCAGCACAGCAGCCAGAGGGCCCTTTAACAGTAAAGGCAGACCACCTTCACCGCAGGGGTCCCCTTCCAATGCCACGAGGACACACAGTCAGCCACGCCACCGGTCACGCCCCACTCCCTCTCCAGCTGCCCAAGCTCCAGGGCACTCACTACCATACATCCCTTGAACACGAACTCCTGTCTGAGGCTTCGCACCTCTCCTTGGAGCTCTCTTCTGCAAAAGCATCTGCTCTGCTCCCCTCACAGGGGTCTTGCCCCCATCCCCAGGGAGGGGTCCCTGCTGCCCCATCTAAAATTGACACCCCACCCCAACCATCACCCACATGTCTCCCCCCTCCCTTTTATTTAATCCTTCCCCTTGGCATTTACACCATTCACTAAAGTATAGGCTTTCCTTCAGTAACTTGTATTGTCACCCACCAGACCACAAGCCTTGAGGAGGAGGCTTGTCTGCTTGGATTACTGCTGCATCCCCAGCGCCCCAGCTTTTGTAAACCAAACTTTCAAGGACACAGTATTCTCCAGCATGTCTTCAACCTCGGTGGCAGCCCGTGAACTTGAACAGGAAACAAATCCCATCTTTACTTCCACTAACTTCCACAAAGTTTAGCGTTTCCTTCCATTATGAAGATAGGCGACAAACCACAGTCATTTCAGCAGTTCCAGGGACTTTTTGCAGAGATGCTGAAAGATTGTTTATGGTTATCATGACTTCAGAATTCTGGTAATTAAGAGACCCACTGTTAGATCTTGTTATTTAATATTGAAGAAGCACTTATATAACAATATCACAGATTTGATTTTTTAAAATTTTGATAACTATTCAGTAGAATTAATTTTCTTTGTAACCGCATATGTTTTATTTTATGTATTTAAAAACATAGTTCTGAGAAAGGGGTGTAGGGGTTTCGCCAGGCTGACACAGGGGTCCACAGCACAGAAGAGAGAAGGGAACCCTGGACTGAGGCACCTGCTTCTATGCTCAGGATATGTGATTTAATATGGGTTCAAGTTGGCCTGCTGAGAATTCAGTTTTTTTCATTATCTAGTAGAGTTTTGCTCCATAGCGCACAGGTTTTGTGTTAGTTTATAATATACCCTCTTCAAAGTAACAGAACAACAAGAAAAGAACTCCTGAGTCAGACCTACAGCCTCCCTGGGGCCAAATGGGCCCCAGAGTTTGCGGAGGCCTCACTGTGGTCCAGGTCCTGGGCCGACGCGAGACAGGCATTAAGTAGATAATAATCCATTTTTTCTTGCTTTCTTGTAATCCAGGCTTATTGTGAAAATAAAAGCAATGAACACGGGTTGGGAAGACAAGGTTAATCCTCCTTTATCCCAGCTTTGCCTAAACCTCTCCTCTTGCCAAGTAGATACATTTTTACCAATGGGCTGTCACTCTTTTTTAGACCTTGTTCTAAGGACTTTAGAAATAGACATTTCCATGTAATTAAAAAAAAAAAACCCTAACACGATCATCATTTTTATATTGCTCTGCATAGCATTCCCTCAATAACCTTCCCTGACAGTGCACACGGGGATCCAACCCGTTCTTTCCAGTGGCTGAAGAGAACTCTACTGTAGAGATGAAAGCACACCTATTTAACCAGCCCCCTGCTGAAAAGGTTCCTATTCTTTGCTACTGAAAACAACGCTATAGCAACAAAAAGTATACAATGAAAACAATTTAAAGGTATTATTTTTAAAAAGTTGTTCAAAACTGGTATACTGAAAACCACAAAACATAATGGAGAAAAGATTAAAAGGTCTAAATAATTACAGGGATATATATTATATTCATGGGTTTTAAAAAACTCAGTAGTATAAAGAGGTAAATTCTCCCAAAATTCATCTGTAGATTAAACACAATAAAAATATCAGCAGGTGTACTTTTGTGGAAACTAACAAGCTGATTATAAAATTTATACAGACATGCAAAGGGTCAAGGATAATCAAGGTAATCTTGAAGAAACATAAAACTGGCAAACTCAGACCATCAGCTATCAAGGCTTATTTTCAAACTAATAACTGATGCAGTGTGTTATTGGTACAAGGATACATCAAAAGTCCAGAAACAGAACCACCCATGTGACAAAGTGAGGTTGGGTCAACATGTGGTACTGAGTCAACTGGCTCTGTCTCCCGAACAAAATAAACCTTGAACCCCTACCTCAGACACCACACAAAAATCAAGTCCACACAGATCTGTAGCTAAATGTGAAAAATAAAACAACAGCATTTTTAGAGGAAAACACAGGAGAATATCTTTATAAACTTGTGACAAGCAGAGATATACTAAGCAGGACACAAAACCTTCAACCATAAAATAAAACCCTGATAAATTTGACTACATTAAAATTAAGAAATTCTGTTCTTCAAAATGATACCTTTAACAGAATAAAAAGGCAAGCCACAGAGTGGAAGAAGATATTTGCAAGATATATAACTGACAAAGAACTCATATCAGAATATAAAGAACATCAATAAGTAGAAGCAGACGGATTAATAGAAAAATGGACAGAAGACTTGAAAAGGCAATTCACAAAAACCGGATATTCACATGGCCAATAAATTTAAAAAAGATGCTAAACTTCATTAACCATCAGGAAAAAGAAAATTAAACCACAAAGTGATACCACTACACCTCCACCAGAATGGCTAATTATGAAAGTACAGACAATGTCTTGCTTTGGGGAATACGTGCATCAATGGGAACTCTTATGCACTGCTGGCGGGAGTGTAAATTGGTACACATACTAGGGTAGACACTTATCTACTGAACACTGAAGGTTACAACTCAGCAACCCCACTGCTAGGCATACGCCCACAGAAATGTGCACACACACTCACTAAAACACACCAACGGCAATGTTAACAGCAGCACTATTTTAACACCTTTACTGAGGTATAATTGATATACAAAATATGCACATATTTAATGTACATAATTTGATGAGTTTGGAGATATGCACGTGTCTGTGAAACCATCACTGTAACCAAGGCATCCGTCGCCTCCCGAAATTTCCCTGAGCAGCACTATTTTTAATAGCCCCAAACTGGAAACACCTCCATCAGGATCAAAACAAGTAAGTAAAACTGTGGCACGTTCACACAATATAAATATTCTATACAACAGTGAGAATAAATCTTCCATCACTATGTGCATTCACTTGGATGACTCTCACTAACGTCATGTCAACTGAAAGAAGCCAGGCACAAAGAGAACACATCATCTGATGTCCACTCATATAAAGTTCAAAAGGGCAAAATGTGAGTCAGTGGTGTGAAAGGTCAGAACTGAGGTTCCCTTGGGTGGGGTAGTACAAGGGATTCTGCTATGTTTACTTTGTACAAAGCCACAGAGCTCAATGCTTATGGTTCTTGAGTTTCTTAGTAATAACGTTATATTTCAATAACAAGTTTACATAAAAAACTAACAGAGAACATTCTTGTATTTATGTCTTTGTGCACAAATCAGTATTTCTGCATGGAGCAGTCCCTGAAGTGGTACTGTTGGTTCATTTTTTATTTTTTACCTTTATAAAATTTAATTTTTCTATATAACAAAGTATCAGAAGGAAGGAGTTTCCAGTGGTTCATTGATAATATGAGGTATATTCATATCTATGACAGGATTGGACACAGGGTGAAATTGGGCTTCAATGCAGGAACATGAAGGCATCTTCTGACACATAGGTAGCTCTGGAAATGGAATAGCCTTTTCAGAGGTTGGTTCACTTTTTAAATGAACTTTAAATCTGGATAGGTATTGCCAAATACTCTCAATCACCAACACATAAGAAAATATCTATTTCTGGCAGTCCAAGCCACAGCAATCAGGCAAGAAAAAGAAAAAAGGCATCAGAATTGGGAAAAAAAAAAGGAAGTAAAAATGTCTCTATTTGCAGATGACATGATTTTATATATAGGAAACCCTAAAGACCCCACTGAAATTCTGTTAGAGCTAATCAACAAATTCTGTAAAGTTGCAGAATACAAAATCAACACACAAAAATGAGTAGCACTTCTGTAAACTAACAATGAATTATCTGAAAAATAAATAAATAAAACAATCTCATTTACAATAGCATCAAAACCAATAAAATACATAGGAATAAATGAAACCAAGGAGGTGAAAGATCTCTACACTGAAAGCTATTAAGATATTGATGAGAAAAAGTGAAGAAGACATAAATAGGTGGGAAAATATCCTGTGTTCATGCATTGGAAGAATTAATATTGTTAAAATGTCCATACTACCCAAAGCCATCTATAGGTTAAATGTCACTATCAAGATTTCAACAGCATTTTTTTTTTTACAGAAATAAATAGGAAAAAAAATCCTAAAATGTGTATAGATAAAAGACCTCAAATAGCCAAGCAGTCCTGAGAAAGAAGAACAAAGCTGGAGGTATCACGTGCCCTGATTTCAAACTATATTAGAAAGCCATAGTAATCAAGAGTATGGTAATGGCATTAAAAACAAACACAGACATCAATGGAGCAGCATAGACAGCCCAGAAATAAACCCATGCATATATATGGTCAATTAATTTATGAGAAAGGACCTAAGAATATATGATGGGGAAAAGACAGCCTCTCCAATAAATGGTGCTGGAAAACTGGAAATTCTCATGTAAAAGAATGAAACTAGACCTCTAAATTATACCACTCACAAAAATTAACTCAAAATGCATTGAAGACTTAAAATGTAAGACCAGAAACCATAAAACTCCTAGAAGAAAACATAGGGAAAATTTCCTTGACATGGGTGTTGGCAACGATTTTTTGGATATGACACCTAAAGCACAATCAAGAAAATAAAAAATAAACAAGTGGGACTACATCAAACTAAAAAGCTTCTGTCCATCAAAAGAAATTATCAACAAAGTGAAAAGACAACCTACGGAATGGAAGAAAATGTTTGCAAACACATCTGATAAGGGGTTAATATCCAAAATATATGAGGAATTCATAAAACTCAATAGCAGTCCCCTCCCAAATAATACAATTAAAACATGGACCAAGGAGTTAAACAGACATTTTTCCAAAGAAAATATGCAAATGGCTGACAGATACATGAAAAGATGCTCAACATTACTAATCATCAGGAAAGTGCAAATCGAAACCACAATGAGGTGTCCCCTCACACCTCTCAGATTGGCCATCATCAAAAAGACAGGCGATAACAAATGCTGGTGAGGATGTGGAGAGAAGGGAATCCTTGAGCACGGTTGGTGGGAATGTAAATTGGTGCAGCCATTGTGGAGAACAGTATGGAGGTTCCTCAAAGAATTGAAAATAGAGCTACCATATGATCTAGCATTTCCACTTCTGGATACATATCTAAAGGAAAAGAAGTCACTGTTCTGAAGAGATACCTGCACTCCCATGTTCACTGCCACATTATTTACAACAGCCAAGACCTGGGAACAAGGTAAAAGTGTCCAACGACAGGTGAACAAATTAAGAACATAATGGGAAAAATACATATAAATGGGAACGTGAGATACGTACATACATGTATATATAACAAATATATATATATAAAATGGAAATGTAAGATAGATAGGTATCTATATAATGGAATACTAGTATTTCATTACAGTAATCCAGTATAAATATATAATGGAATAATGGAACTATTCAGCCATAAAAAAATAAGGAAATCCTGCCCTTTGTGACAATATGGATGGAGCTTGAGGGCCTTACACTAAGTGAAATAAGTCAGACAGAGAAAGACAAATACTGTATGATTTCCCTTAGATGTGACCAAACTCATAGAAATGGAGCAGATTTGTCTTGCCAGAGGTGGAGGGCTGGGGGAATTGGATGAAGGTTGGTCAAATGGTACAAACTTTCATTTTGTAAGCTATAAGACAAATAAGTTCTGGGGATGTAATGTACAACATGTTGACTATGGCTAACACAACCATTTTGTATATGTGAAAGCTGCTAAGAGAGTAGATCTTAAAAGTTTGCATCATAAGGAAAAAATATTTTTTGTGACTGTGTGAAGTGATAGATGTTAACTAAACTCACTGTGGTAGTATTTCACAACATATACATATATCAAATCATGGTTATACACCTTAAACTTACACAACAATTATACCTCAATAAAACTGGAAAAAATAGAAGGAAACCGAAAATATCTATTTCACCACACCTTTACCCATAATAATTCATTCCTGCCTGCATTTAAAAATATTTATTGTCATAAAAGGACAAATAGTTTATGATTCCACTCATATGAGGAACCCAGATTAGTCAAATTTATAGAAACAGAAAGTAGATGATGGGGCCAGGGGCTGGGGAGGGGAATGAGGAGTCAGTGTTTAATGGGGACAGAGTTCCAGGTTTGCAAGATGAAAAAGTCTGGAGATGGATCGTGGTGAAGGTTGCACAACAATGTGAATGTTGACTGCCACTGAACTGTACTCTTAGAAATGGTTAAAATGGTAAATGTTATGTATATTTTAGCAATTAAAAAAAATTTAAAAATTTATTGCATGCCTATTAGGTGCCTGGCACTGTTCTAGGTGCTAGGAATATAGCTGTGAATCAGAGACAAACATGTACTGCTTCTGACAGACTTGTATTCCAGGGAAGCTGTTATCAGTCAAAATTTTTGCTAATATAATTGGTAACAATGTTATCTTACTGCTTTAATGGCATTGTTCTAGTTACTAGTAGGTTGAGTATATTTTCATATATTTGTGCACCATTTGTATTTCTTCTGTGAAGTGCCTGTTCATATCATTTGCTCATTCTTTTCTATTGGGTTGTTTGTCTTTTTCTTATTAACTTGCAGGAGCTCTTTGTATTTTATGGCTCTTACCTCTTTGCCTATTTATATGTCCCAAATACCTTCTCTAAGTCATCGGCTTTGCTCTGGGCTTCTCTCCCTCTCTGTCCCTGCCCCGGCCACGTTTCTGGTTTCTGGTTCTTTGCTTCTGATGATGTTCCCCGTCCTAGGATTTACAAGCAAATTTTTCTTACATTTTATTCTAGTACTTTGATAGCTCCCTCCCGCCTCTGGTGGAGTCTTCTGGGTAGTGGTCCCATCGCCACTGTCCACCGCCCATTTGTGGGACATCTCTGTACCGGGAAAGGTGCAGGGGCCTGCTGGCCACCCAGGCAGGAGACGGCAGTGCCTCAGGCACCCACGTCTACTTTTCAGCATCTAGGTGGCGCCTCCTGGCTGCGCGTGTGGCCGCTCCTGAGTAGCTGGTTTGGAACTGGGCTGGAAGGTGGTTCACGTGGTCAGAGCACCGGGCTTCAAACGGTACATCCTGCAAAGAAGGGCCGTCCAGGATCCTCCCTTCTGTGAGGCCACTCATGCCTGATCCTCCCAGACCAGCATTTGCCATGATCTGGTTCAGACACCAATAGTCTGAAGAAAGAATACAGCCTCAGGGGAACCTCAACAAATCAAGCAGGCCTTGAAGACGGCCTTGGCCGGCCATGCTGACCCCGCCTCTTCCAATCTGTCCTAAACAAGACACATAAACGGGCAACACAGAACGCGTGAATGCTGACCACCACGGCAGAGGGTCAACCTTCTGCTAAATCCGGGAAGGCTTTGCCCTGGTGGAAAGACGGGCGGGGTGGAGGTAAAATCACACGAAGGCGGGCCTCTCTGGCCCTGCTGGGCACACCCTGCACGCGCCTCGTGATGCAGGGACCAGCTCGGAGGGAGCAGAGGGCTCCGGCCCCATGCCCACGCCACAGACCAGCCTCGTCCGCTAGGAAGGGACCACAGCCACACTCCCCATCCACCTCCTCTAGTCTTTATGCGTCGATTCGAAGATGTGCTTGGTCACCGGCTGGGAAGGAAGGAGAGTGGGGAATCTAGCCAAGGTGACCAGCCTTCTGGGAGGCGTATTTGCCAACTCAAGCACTGGAGGCCATGGCCGGGGTAGGACAGTGCCTGCTGGGAATGGCGTGTGTTTTGAATGGGCTATTTTTTTTTTAATTTAAATTAACATTTATTAAAATATTTGAGTAATATTAATAACATTGTTTTTGAAGATGTTGGGCGTAGGAGTTTATTAATTAATTTATTTTTGCTGTGTTGGGTCTTCGTTTCTGTGCAAGGGCTTTCTCTAGTTGTGGCAAGTGGGGGCCACTCTTCATCGCGGTGCGTGGGCCTCTCACTGTCGCGGCCTCTCTTGTTGCGGAGCACAGGCTCCAGACGCGCAGGCTCAGTAGTTGTGGCTCACGGGCCTAGTTGCTCCATGGCATGTGGGATCCTCCCAGACCAGGGCTCGAACCCGTGTCCCCTGCATTAGCAGGCAGTGAATCGGCTATTTTTTAAAACTATCAGTTTTAGGTTCACAGCAAAATTGAGCGGGAGGTACAGAGATGCTCCGTACGCAAGCACACACAAGCACAGCCTCTCCCATAATGCACACCCCCACTGGAGTGGTATGTTCTGTTAAAATTAATGAACCTCAGGCTTCCCTGGTGGCGCAGTGGTTGAGAGTCCACCTGCCAATGCAGGGGACACGGGTTCGTGCCCCGGTACGGGAAGATCCCACATGCCGCGGAGCGGCTGGGCCCGTGAGCCATGGCCGCTGAGCCAGCACGTCCGGAGCCTGTGCTCCGCAATGAGAGAGGCCACGACAGTGAGAGGCCCACATAACGCAAAAAAAAAAAAAAAAAAAAATATTAATGAACCTCCACTGACACATCATGGTCACCCAAAGTCCAGAGTTTACGTTAGGGTTCACTTTGGCGTCGTACATTTGATGGGTTTGGACAAGTGTATAATGACATGCAGCCACCATCACAGAGGACAGTTTCACTGCCCTGAAAACCCTCTGTGCCCTGCCTGTTCTCTCTCCCCAGTCCCTGGCAACCACTGGTCTTTTTACTGTCTCCATAGTTTTGCCTTTTCCAAAACGTCACATAGGTGGAATCATGCAATAAGTAGCCTTTAGAGATTGGCTCCTTTCACTCTGAATACGCACTGAAGCTTTCTCCTCATCTAGTCACCTCGAGAGCTCATGCCTTTTCAGCGCTGATAGTACGACACTGTCTGGATGCACCAGTTTACTAAGCCATTCACCTCATCTTGGCTGCTTCTGAGTGTCAGCAGTTATGGGTAAAGCTGTTATGAACATTCCCAGGCAGGTTTCTGTGTGGACACGTTTTCAGCTCTTTGGGTAACTACCAAAGGGTGTGACTGCTGGATCATACGGCAAGAGAAGGTTCAGCTTTGCGAGAAACTGCCACACTGTTCTCTCCAGCAGTGACTGTGTCCTGTGCCTACACGTACTCACCCGCCGGCGAGCCAACACCGCTTCTCGGGCCTCATGTCCGTCAGCACTGAGGGGCTAAAGCTTCGAACACGAGGAAGGCCAGCCCAGCCTGCAAGGGGCCCCAGACCTGGCAGGAAGACAGTTGCCGGCATCGTGGCGACACCAGGGCCCCTCGCCCCACCTGAACGTGCAATTCCATCGCAAACACCCATGGTCCTGGATGTAATGCCAGTGGCAGCCGGAGTAGCTAGAAGACTTTTCAGAGGAAGGCCTTTTAAGCATCAAACTGAAGAAATGAGTCAACAGATCTCCCGCCTCTGATGGCCCTGACAGGTACGCGGCGCTGACTGCTTAGGTGACAGACGATGAAACCTGCAGCCGCAGAGGACGGGGAAAATTAACTGCCGTTCATGAAACTGGACCACACGTTGCCCAACGGAAGCAGTATTTCACGGTTCGGTTTTCCTTCTGCATTTAGTCACGGAAGTGGCATTGCGGGCTCTGGGAGGAGGGGCGGGTTCTCGGCGTGACGTCTGCCGCTTCCCCACCAGCACTGAGTGGCCGGTGCGGCAGCAGGGATGAGAAGTGGTTCATTTTAAACTCTAATGGATTTACACAAAGACCATTCTCTTCATTCTTCTAAAACCCAAGCCCTAATTATCTCGGTGCCTGGGGGCCTTGGTGGTACAGATGCAAACACCACACCACGTAGCTTTGCCGTATGAAAATTATTTTCTTCCTAAAAGGACATTATTTCTTCTGCATGTGGGCCAGACTGTGCCTGTACTCCAGCTCTGAACCCACTCAGTGTCTCTAGGGGCCGAGCATGCACCCCTCTCCCCCCCACGCGGTGTGCAGAGCCCTCGACTGGGTCCGACGCGGGGAACTTCACGCGGAAGGGGATGATGGATGTTGGGTTGTCCGGGCTTTGCTCGGTCCAGAAAGCTCAGGGGGGCAGTTGAGAGTCAGACGTGAGCAGGAGTCAACCCAGCGCTTGCTGTGACGGAGAAAGTGATGCCAACCGTTGCTTTTTCTCCTAGAACTTTTCTAATCGGAATGGATCTCGCTGTCAGGAAGGCTGGAGGCCATTAGAAGTGAGCTATGGCGAAGGTGATTTCCTGGCCACGTGGACCGGTAGGGCCTGGTGCACTTGGACTCGGCTTTTTTTTTTTTTAGTCAAACAAGAATCAATATTTAAGATTATGCAATGTCCAAACCAGCCTGAAGTAACTGCCAATCCAAGGACAAGAGCTGGATAATTTACAGAGCAAGGAATCCATTTTTTTTGAGAGGGGGAAGGGAAAAATCAAGATTTAAGCTTTTTATCTTGGGCTGAACTTTTCTCCTCCATTCTTAATGGCACCAGACATAAATAAACCATCCATTTTGTTTTGTATGGACGGTCTGTACTTTGCACAGACTCTGAGCAAACGACAGGCCAGTTTTAGATCCTGACCACAGGTCTGAGCCGTAACCACCTTGTAAACAACACTCATTTACGTTTTTCCAACTTACAGCGCTGTCCTTGAGCCCAGTCAAAATCTGCCCTCTTATTCTTTTGCCCCTGCAATCAGCAGAGAAAGGCTTTTTATTGTCAGCTACTAATGGTTCTTCTGTACCATATTTTTAATGTGAAGATTAAATATTTATAAATGTCTCGTCAATAGCATCCCGTAACTGGCCCTCCCGAAGCCGCAGACGTGGGCCGTGCACACGCACGCAGAGTCAGAGGCCGCGGGCCATGGGAGCAGCAGCACGGGCTGTAGCGAGCACAGCACCTGCTGTCACCGGGACCTGCACTCTCATTGCCGGCCAGGGCCTGTTTCTCAAGAAGCCTGCGTCACAGCCAGGCTTTGTCCCCAGTTACCGGGATCACTGGCCTCTGCCACCCTAGAGGTGACCCCCCGGGTGACCCACCTGGACACTGTCCGTCTCAAAGTGTCTGCAGGAGGAAGCCAGGAAGCACTGCCTCTTCCCCGCCACCTGGAAGTGAAGGGCAGCAGGAGTCGGAGTCTGGTGGACAAACCAGCGGGGGGGCCGGGCAGGACGCTGTGCACAACTCTGCAGCGGCAACGGGAGGGCCACGCGGGTCCTGAGGGGACGGGGCGGGGGCCCTGGGCACTGCCACGGGGCCACGTCCAGCACGGCTTCAGCAGCCTTCTCTAGGCCTGGCTCGAGCCCTCGGTGAGCGGAAGTTCTCAGCCCTGAAACAGACGGGCCGGGAGAGAGCCATGGGCCTGGGAAGTGGAGACGGCGCGGCAGGAGGGCCCTGGGCACTTCGGAGCAAACTGCACCACCTCGTAGGGGCAGCAGACCCGCCTTCTCCTCACGGGGCCATTAACACCCCGGACACGGCGGCAGAGCCCCGCTGTGACGGAATCCGGAAGGGCCCAGCTGCGGGAGCGGAAGTGAGGGTCACGGGGGTGGAACCGGACGCAGCGCGGGACGCACGGGAAGCCCCGCCCTCCCGCCGCTGTGAGCTCTGCAGTGGGTGGGGGGCGGTGGCTCGGTGGCCGCCGCTGAATCACAAGCTAGTCGATACCCTTTCAGGCTGGGAAAGCCCTGCCGGCGACTTGAAGGAAAGCAGCAGTGCACAAGCAGCCCGGCTCGCTCTCCCGCTCGAACAAACGGCAGAGGAGAGGAAAGTCCACCTCCCTTTCCTGCGCTGCTGATCGGGGGCACCTGGGAACCCAGCTTGCCCGAGGGGAGCTCCTCGGCCCGCAGTCTGGATGGACAGTGCCTGGGGGCACGGTGGGCAGGTGGGCCCAGAGCTCGGCGCGGCTCAGCCCTGAGAGCCCAGAGGCCTCCGTCTGCGTACCCGCCTCTTGGGAAGATTGTGAGTTTCCGTGAGATGCACAAGGTCCACACGGGAGCTTTAGAAACTGTAAAGTGCTGCGCGGGTGTCAAGACTATTCTTGTTTCCACACGCGAACGATTCATGGAATCAGTGATCCCAGTCCTTCCTCAAAAGGACCCAGCAAATACCCAGGTAGGGCAGGCCTGGCATAAACCCCCGGAGACCGAAGCGGGTCTGGAATCCCCGTGGGCGTGCCGCTGCCCCCGCCCCGAGCGACGGCAGGCTCCGGGGGGCAGGCCAAGTCTTGGGGGCTCTCGTCTGGACCAGCAAGGGAAGGACACGAACGTGCAACCCTGGACCGTGACCCTCAAGGCGTCTGGGACAGGAGCTGGAGGGCTCGAGCCCTCCGCTAACAGCGAGGCACGGATAAGGCCACACCGGCCATCACGGAGACGGAACCGGCCGGCCGTCCGTCGGCCGGGAGGCAGCCCGGGAGGACGTGCGCCTCAGGCGGGCCAGCTCGGGGGCCGCCGGCTCTCGTAACCGCTGCGATGCTGCTGATGAGCACGTATTGATTTCTTTAGTGCCTCTCCGGAGCCCCAGAGCACTTGGCGCACTTATTGGAAAGTGCCTGAAACCAAATTGAAGACAGGCCCAATGAGGAGAATCAATCCAAACGTTAAGGGTATCTGAGGGCTTAGGAGCAAATGGGGAGAGACAACAGGTATTCAGCCTCCCCCAGATCCAAACACTTAAGGCAGACGCTTTGCCCCACGCCGTTCAATAGCCTGCTACTGCCTTGCCAGCAAAACGGAAAGTAAGAGGTTAGTGTCTGCGCACTGCTGGTGGATGGGCCCGGCTTTCAGGGAAAGGCCTCAGACAGTCTGCAGATCTACACGCGCTAAACGGCGCCCTGGGCAGCTGCCTGCCCTGCGGTCCCACCCCCGGCCCCCT